CATTGTAATTCTTGGTATCAGACAGGCTAATTCCTAGTCAAGTTCGATAACATCATCTAGAATTGAGTCAAAATGCGCTAGAAGTTTGAATTTGATAATTGATTCATATAGCTAAAATGGGTTCGCGGGCGGTCAGGAATCTTTTTTTGGATATCTTTTGAAATCTGTCTCAGAAACCCCATATTTGCCCTACTGTTTTATTGTAAAGGTCCTATATATATATATAAATATTATACATTAATTTTATTATTAAATTTTAATGATTTTATTAGAATTATTTATAAATAGATTAATTATAATATAATATTATAAATTTCTTATATTTTTATAATTTTATAATTTTTATTAAAAGTAAAATATTTTAGAAATAATAAGAATATATCAGATAAAAATAAATCCATAATAAACTATATATAAAAAATTTAAATGATATAGATAAATATTAAATTAGATTTCTTTCTAAATGATTCGAAATAAGTTAAACCGCTTTTGTTTTGCCACTTTTTTTAGATGAATTAAATCAATGATATCGTCTCCTCCATCAACAATAAATAATACTCGTGTAACTTCTATCAACTTATAAATTGTGTTACATAAACAAAAAACAATATTTGATGATCAAAAAATTTTTTTTAAGTTCAAACGAAACGTTAATTTCTTTCCAGAAACGATTAGTTCACCGAATTCGCTTAGCTTTGCTCTTTATGTTAGGTAAATTTGGTTAATGTGGAAAATTTTCTAATCCCCTTTTAGACTTTACTTTGTTTTTCTAAATATTTTAACCTTTTTAAATACAGACTCCAAGAGCTGTAGGTAAAGATAATTGGAAACACTAAGTTGCAACTTTTCATGCAAAATATTTGACAATGCAACTATTACCAAACAGATACTAATTGTTTATTTGATTTTATTATTAGATAAACACAGTTCACATGACAAACTACACAACAATGCCTAAACCCAAAATTACAATGACTTATGATAGAAAAATTCGAAAACCGAAACATTCTACGATAACAAAAACTACTACTAAATCGACTTCTTCCGAATCTGTTTTTGGTTTTCCAAGCACTACTCCACCATCTTGCAGCATTTCTGGTGGAAGTGTTATTAGTGGTCAAAAGACTTATGGAAAAGGTCGAACAATTTTAGGGCAAGATTTAGATTCGATTTTTCTTGATCCATTCAATCCTTCACGGACCAGCTTTGATATGGGCCTAACTGATGATGATATTAAAGACAATTTGGTTTGTAAATTTGGTTCATCGTTTACATAAGAATTATAATTGATATCTTTATTCATTATAGGCGCCTAAGAAACTTGCTTTAAAACATTTTAAATCGAGAAAAAAAATTTTATTGAAAAGTTCACGCGAACTTCGCGAGGTTGGAGATAATACAAGTTTCACAGATGAAATGGATTATATTTTCGGCGGAATTGAAAATCGTTCAATAAATGTTCGCAGAAACAGGTGCGTTTTTCAATAAAATTTTTTTTTTTTTTTTTTTTTTTTTTAGAAATTAACTTAATTTGCTTTCAGTGTTATGGATCTATTATCAAAATTATTGGATCGCGATTTTCTACTCAAAATTCGTGCACATAATTATATTTCTAAAATTTATACCATATTAGATAGAAATCAGGATTTGGTGAGAATTATGATTGCTTAATATATCAATTTTTTTAATTTTTTAATTTTTATTAATGTAATATCATCTTATATAGTTAATTAAATGTTGTTTTTCATTTATCATATGTATATTTATGGAGGACAAAAATAGTTCAGTTTATTTGATTAAGGAACATGATTTTGTGGGATTTGTTGTGAATTTATTAAACACTTCATCAGATCCCTTGAGCACAGATTGCGATTCCTTGAAAAAATCGGAAAAGTTATTGGTAAATAATGCTTAATTAACAATATATTTAATATTTGTGCGACGTTATTTATTAATATATTCTCTCCGATTTTATTTAAGGTTGATAACTTTAAAGAAATTATACTTAAATCGACAATCTTCAAGGAGAAATCTCAGGTAGAAATAAGGAATGATAGTAATATTATTTGATTATGTTGAAGAACTGAATCTTATTAAGCGTTAATTATTAATATTCTACATAATAGATTTCGCTTAAATCCATAGCTCTTCGTATACTTACTTCCCTATCTACATTAAAAACTCGTAATGAATGTGAAATAAAAAGGCGAATGCGCACTTCAGGCGGGTTATTAACAGTGATTAAAATCTTAAAATCTGAACTTGAATTAGTAGATGGGTTATTATCAGCAATTGAGAATGGTAAGGTGAGTTTATTAATTTTCATTATATTCAAAGAAGTTTTCGTTAAACCTATCAAATATTTTCAATAATTTGAATTAAATTTTTTTTATATTGTAAGAGCTCACAACATGATGCCTTAGATTTTAAATTAATTGAACAGTGTTTGAAAATCTTAGAGTATGCGACTCTTTTCTGTTCTGAAAATCAAATATATATTGTAGAAGATAGAGATATTTTACACATGCTTTTAGAATTATTGCTATATTTTCAAGTAGAATCCTTCGATAAGAGTGCGGAAATAGTATCCTTAGGTAAATTTATACCAAAGATTTTTTATGTTGCAATATAAACGTATTGTATATATTATTGCTAAAATTATGACTTATATTTTCTAGTATTAGAATGCTTACTCGCCACTCTTAAAGTATTAATTAATTTGACCAATGAAAATCTATCCGCTTGTCAATATGTTGGGTCACAATTAGGAATGTCAATTTTGATGAGATTAGCCACTGTTGGACAACTTCCTAGGGAGGAGCCAATTATAAATAATACGGGCCCTTTCGTGATGGAAATAGATAATATCGAGAATTCAGAATCTGTAGATGCTATCAAGTTTGATGTGTTATTACTTAGTATTGGTTTGCTCATCAATTTGGTTGAAACTGATCCAAATAACCAAGATGAATTTCGGAAAGTTGGTGAGTGTTTTTCATAAATCAATTATTTATTTGTTGATATGTTAGTCTTTACTTAATAATATGAATCAATTAGATCAATATCCAATGTGTCCTGGTTCGCGAAAGTGTATGCGTACTTGCACATGTTTGCCGCGTGTATCGGCTGTATCTTGTCTTGTTTCCTTATATAACTATCATCTTGGAAAAGATGATGATAAGGTTTGTTATTGCCATTGTTTTAGTGGAAAATTACAATTTTTTGAAACAAATTTCATTTTCATTTTTCATCTCATTTTACAGACCGATAGCAATATCGTGGCGGCTTATATGGCTGTTTTGCTTGGCTTATTAATAAAAAATAACTATTATAATCAACGATTGATAATTGATATCCTTCTCTTATATATTAATATCAAAACCATTATATTATAGTTTTGATTTTGTATTGATTTGATTTTATTCCTTAATCTGAAATTGATTTCTTTTTTTACAGCGATTGCCGGATCGATCGGTCGGTTCTTTAATTAATCTTCTGCAGCAGTTCGTACATTTCAATGAATTAGTCGGTGAAGAGGCAACGGCAAATGGTCATGTAAGTGGACAAATGTTAATGAGTTCCTCTTCACTCGAGAATCAAGGAAGAACCATTGGGGATTCGTTTTTAGAAATTGTAGATATGTTAAAATCTTTGGAATCATAGAAATATTAAATGAAAATTTGTAGAAATATTGTTAAATGAACTTTTGGATCTTAACAAATAATTACTACTATTATTATTATTATAATCCTTTTAAAAAAAAATCATAAAATTCCTGCTACAAATAGTAGGAAATAAATATATATTATATATACATATATTTAATCTAAAATTGTACTTCCTTTCCTTTTTTTTTTAACTCATGTTACTATACCATTTTATCAATGTTTTAATTAGTTCTTTTCATTTCATTTGTTTAAATTTAAAATTTTCTTTTTTGTTTTAAAAAAATTTCTTATATAAGTAACGCAAATATGAGATTTTGCAATAAATAAAGACAGGTGCCAAATGACTAAGCGCACCTTTTTGTGTTTATTTAAGATTAAATCAAAATCACACTCATTAAAATGAAAATTCTGATTTAATAAGAATCTCTGAATAACAAAAAAGAAATAGACTTTACATCGAATTAACAAAACAAACACTGCAAAAATTGAACGTAAACAGAGGAACCAGAGACTGAAAATTTAGATAAAGTAATCAATTAACGATGTTTAGTTTTCTTGTAATTAATCTCCTTATTAGTCAAACTCTTTTTTAGACATCTTTACACAGAGTATCGAAGGCCAATATAAGTTAACCTCTCTAGAGGACCTCGAATAACTGATTGCAAATATTGGATTATAAACGATAATGCATACGCAAGGAAACGAATCAATCCAAACAAGTTCGTGTCATAATAACGGATGGTGGAATTATATGAGAATCCTTTTGATTTCTTTATTTTTCAAGTTTTAATTATAAGAATTAATATGCAAAAAATCGAAAAACTTCTTGAAAAAATATGCTATTATTGTAATTATTTAAATCCCAAAAAAAAAAATAATAATAATAAGATAAAATATCTCGAATAATACAAATTTATACAAAATCATTATTAAAAATCGTGATAAACCTTGATACTTTATATTCTATATTTATAATAATGCTTGAGCTGCCTTGAATGATTCATTAGTAATTTGATTTATAATTTCATCTAAATTCATTGTAATTTCTGTATGAACGAATCCTGGAACTTTAGCTCTTTGAACTCCAACCCATTCTAGTGGAGGTGTAGCATCTCCCAAAATTCTTAATTGTGGTTCCAACTTTACTGGTTCAATTGGGTTAAAAATAAAAGCATCCTCCTTTTTGGATTCTTTTGAATCTTCATTTTCATTGGACTGAATTTCCATCATTTCTTTTGGTGAATCAGGTAATACTGGTGAAGAGGGATTTTGAACTTGTATCAAAGGAATAGATTTAGGAGAATCAACAGGTGTTGATGTCAAACTAGGAGTTAAAGGAGGAACAATTGGTGATCTTGGAAGATCTCCGGTTGTACCAGTTGCATTCTTTCTTAATTGTTCTTTGTATAATGCTCCCAATTCTTGAAGATATCTTATTAATCCAAAATTTAGAGCTACATCAACTTTTCCTCTAAAGTTAACAGCAAACTTATGATCCACAATATTACTTCCAATACCTTGTGTGGTATCCATTATTAAATGAGTATTCGGAAGAGTGAAAATATTCTTTGAAGGGGAATTCTCAACATGATCAAACCAATTTTGAAATGTAAATGACTTTTCATGTTTGTGATTTAATTTCTTGCAATTGCTTTTTAATAATGCAATACCATTAAGCTGCATATCAAGTTCCCTGTTAATACGATTATCTTCTCTAATCGATCTTTTCATGTCCACAAGAAGTCCATCAAATATGGTCTGAACGCAATCTGTATCATGGAAATGATTTGGAAAAATAGTTAAATGTGCTTTCTCCATCGCTATCGTTATTTTTCCTACCGGATAAACCAATAACCCACCAACCAATAATTCTTTGAAAGAGGAGGATTTTATATTCGTTTCTGGTAAAGTAAGTCTATGATTAGATTCGATTGTTTGCGATTGAGAATTTGTATTCAAATGAGATGATCTCTTAGATTTTGAAATGACATTAGAGGCGGAAATTCTCTTTTCTTCCACCAAAACCAAAAGTTTATTCATCATATTAAGGAAAATTGGTATTGTTTTAATAGCAACAATTGCTTGAATACGTTTAATAGAAATTTTGGCATGTATCAAAACCGATGCTTTTTCGGGCGAAATAATAGTCCAACAATCTGTTAATTTAAATTGCATTGGATCAGCGTCCAATACCAAAATTTTTTGATATTCGTATTCCAAAGAAGATTGAATTCTTTCGGTTCTAAATAACAAATTTGTCACACAAGTTGAACCATCCGTCTCTGAATTTGGAGGAATTCCTAAAATTGTTTTAAATGTAAGTCCTTTCATATCGGCGGAACCCGTGAGACGACCTTCACATTGAATATCAAGATAATCTATAGAAGCAGTAGCTTCTTTCAAAGATCCTGGAACGTTTTTTGTACGGACTTGTATGTTTTTAGTGTTAAATCGAATTTTTCCGATTGCTTGACCTAAATCGCTGGATAAATCAAGTTGATTCAACTTAACTATTACATAAACCGAATAAGGTTTGACCTTCGTTTCATTTTCTAATATTGGGGTTATAGAGCGTAATGGCGAGGATGAGAATAAGGGAGATTTATCTCCATTAATATATTCACCGCTTACAGGTCGAGAAGATTGTTGAGAGTTCAAATTACTGACTTCATATAATTTCGTAGCTTGATCGATCCAAATGGTCTTTAAAAGTAATAAATCTTGAAGATGACGGATGTTTAAATCCGCTGCAATTTGTGGTAGTTCAACGATTATCGAAATAGAATCATCAGAGACACTCTCCGTTCTTCTGCTCATTAAAGTTGCATTGAAGGAAATGTCTTTTGTTTCAGCTTTAACACAATCTTCAGGAGAAAATGAATGACGAATATTTCCGGAGGCACCCCTAATCTTTCCCACACACGTTACACTTTGAGATGTTTCTTCTGCAGTATTAGAAGAAATAAGAAAATTTCCTTCTTCCCATTTTAAAGAACAAAGAACTTTAGAAGCAGGCTGACAACTAAGGTCAAACGTAGTACGTGAAAGTCTGAAGTAACATGTTAAGTTCATGCCATGAATTGATGATGAACTTTCCTGAATTGCTATTGCTTTTTTATCACTGGATCGTTGAACTCCAATCTTCAAACCATCAATAATGTCTTTGAAAAATGGTACTAGGGAAGGGTAAAACATATTTTTACTTGGGTAAATTATAAGTTCAACATGAACTCTCTTTTTTAACGAATCTGGAGAAGGTATGATCCTTTGTCCAATTGTTGTGCGGTAAAAGGTATTTAAACTAAGACCTGGTATTACTATGACATCTATACCATGTTCTCCTTGTCTTGTTAAATCATCTAAATTTGTAGGGGCATAATTGGACAATCCATCTAAATTAAGACGTGGAAGAGGAATAGAAGCAATGCTACCATGGGAACCACGCGAAGATCTAGAACGATCAAGAACTTTGTTTCCTGTCGATATTCTACTATGATATTTTGTAAAATAATTCTTTGGATATAATTTTATCGTACCACTTTTGGCCGTGAACGTCGCATCAACTTCAAGGTCAATAAAGTTAGAACCTGAACCATTATCTAATTCTCCATTCTCTGACTCATTGGGAGATTTCGGTGATTGAGATCCAATGTTAAAATTAGCTTCAGCAGTGAATGTTTCTAATCTTTCTCGACTTGCAGCGTAAATCTCGCCAAGACTATTTATATGATTAACAATATTTCCACCGACATCTATTTCAAAACCTTCTACTCTTGATTCAACGTAAACCTTTTTCTTATCTATCGTACCAGTAGTATGTCCTTCACAAGAAATTTCAGGAACGAAAATTATATTCATTTTGGTATGAAAATATGATGAAAAATGATTTTCATTTCCTTGGTCAAATTGAGTAACGAATTGAAGGCTCAAATCTCTGAGAATCGCACAATTAGATTTCCATTTTCTTGTCAGGAAATTCATGGAAGAAATTGAGAAAATGAATGCAGGAATTTGAGGAGCAGATGATGAATGCTCGCCTGAATGCTGTACAGCCGTAGATATTAAGTCTTCACTTAAAACGAGAGGAAGTGCAATTGCAAATCTTGTTACTTCAAGTGATATAACTTTTTCATCCAAAAAGGATTTACTTTTTGATTTATATTTAGGCATCTCAACGTCAAGTGAATTTAAAATCCTTCGCGTATTAGCGGTCAATTTGTTAATATCGGACGCTTTCATCTCTTTCCTACGCTCTAATTCGCCACTATAGTAAACATACAAATCCATCAAACGACCGAGTGCAATTGGTTGCATAACAGCGTGAACTTTTAATAACTTAAGAAAGTAGGATTCAATAGATTCGTCACACTCATTAGATTTACTAATAGATTCGGAATTTTCTTTTCGAGTTTTGAAATTTTGCAGTTCCAAATCAATCATGATATAAGCGATTCGATATTTACGAATATCGTCATCAGCCTCTGATTGACTTATAACTCCAGTATTATGATTTAGTGATAGAGAAAAATTATGTGCAGAAAATTTCCATTGAACTTTTGGGGATTTTTCAAAACCTATCAAGGGGACATTTGAAATAAGGCCATTAAGAATATTCGTTTCAAAAAATCCAATGGCAGTTGGACTCATTGCTGATATTCTAAGACCTCTCAAAGATATTTTTAGGCTATAAAATAATATATCGTTTTCTTTAGACGAAGATGAAGCTTTCTCTTTTAGATTACCACCACGTTCCTTAAGTCTTTTAGACGAAAACAGGAACATATCTAGTACATCATTTAATTCACTTCCAAGAGTTGAATGTGCTGTCAACAAATTATCAATAATGTTCACATTTAAATTTAATTTAACAAAATCCAATGTCACTAAAGACTCAAGTTTTGAATACTTGTGAGGTGAGATTGAACTAGTAGGCGAAACTGCCGATTTCTTAGTGGGCACACAGGATTTTCGAGATTCGTATGGCTTAATGTTACCAGTTGCTCTAATTGCTGGTATAGTAAAAGCACCTTTTTGATGATGATCATTAGTCTCTTCTTCAACTACTGCAGCAGATTTTGATTTATTTTTTTTCCTCGTGACAAAATGAATGAATTGCTTTTTTAATTGTCCGGAATAATTTATCAACCGATCACCATGAACTGACGAACGCTTTTCTATCATGATAAGTAAATCCTCTGCGTCATAATGAAATCTTAAAGATGGTAACATATGAGTTTGAATTGAAAATTTTTTCATCAAGAATTGAAATCTTATTTCCAAAGGATTTCGCGAATTCTTTTCTGTTGATATACGAATTTCACGATTATCGGGTTTAAATTTTGGAGTCGATTTTCGCTTTTCTTCTAATTCATCTAATAATCTATTATACAAAAAATCATAACTTGAAAGATTTTCGGCTCTCCATTCTTCAACGAAATGATATAATTTTAAAAGACTGTGCGGTAATTTAACGGAGATTGCTTCAAGTGTCAATAAAATATTTAAAACTTTACGTGTTTCAATTTCAATTTTACCCTTTTGTCGGCCAGGGGTTAATAAACTAAGTGAGGTATCAGAACTTATTCTAGAGAATTCCATCGAGAACAAGTTATTATTAGTTCCAGATGAAATACTCTCAGTAATACTAGCAAATATATGTCCGATACCCGCAATAATTGAAACGATCAGTCTATTTGATCCTTTACTACCGCTACCTTTCGATCCTGGATACAAAGTACTTTTATTAATTGACAAATTTTCTAAATCTGATTTTTCTCCAGAATTTAATAATTGAGGATTATTCAACCAACTAGATACTTGTATGTTTGTTAATGTTGTTTGTGCCATAAGATTTTGAACCGATGCATTGATATTGATTGTTTTGAGAACAAGAATTCCACGCGCCAAAATATTAAGACGCGATATTAGATCTTTTATTGGATCAGATGAAATTGATTCGTCAGTGTCTTTGCGTTTCTTTTCTTTTATCTTTAATATTTTTATATCATGAAAACTAGTAATAGTAGGTGTTGACCTGTGCTTATGAGCCTTTGTAGAGGAAACAATTTCTTCAGGTTCTTTGCTTGATAAAGATTGAAATTTTGAACTGAATATTCTATGAACTTCAAGCCAATGCTTTGCAAAAGCAAGGATGTCTGGATTCACAGCCAAACCTATGTGATCAATTCCAATTCGCAAAACTAAATCTAAATATCCAGCGATAGTAATCTGAGAAGGTTCTTGTTCCGTATTATTTGAATTTAAATCGGTATGTTTTCGATTAGTCTCAGAGGATGAAAAATTATCTCTATGAAAGTTTGTTTCCAAATTTAACTCAATAGGTTTAATTTCCACATAATTCTCTTTTTGTCCATCCCTAACGGATAAAGCAATAATTTCAATTCGCACTTTAGCAATATTCGTTGAAGTTGTCAAGAATCGGTAAATGTTATTCATAGTATTCATAGATGTTTTGCTTAAGTTATCAGTTAGTTGTTGATAAAGTTCAATGAATAGATTACAATTTGACAAATTTTCCATTTCCCAATGTCTCCACCCTGAAAAAATGCATACAACTCGTTCATACATATCATTTGGATCCGCTGATAACAAGTGATAACCATTATTATTATTCAATTTGGTATGTAAAGTTTCAATCTGTTCGGATCCCATTAATCTCTTACAATGTCTAACGCGGCCAAGTATTTTCCAACCATCATCATTTTTAAAATTCTTAGTTCCTAACCTTAAAACATGAGATGGACAAGTCAAATAAGGTGGATCGCTTTCAATTCTAGCCTTTTCCGAGAATTTAGCAATTTCATGAACTAAAACTTGCTGTTGTCGAGTTCGATGTGTTTGAAATTTTTTCAATAAATTTGCTAGATCTTCTGCAAATACTAACCACCAATAAATACCACCTAATAATATCTCAGCGGATTGACTTATAAAAATGCCAGAAATATTATCTATATCAAAGGAAAAATAATTAGGTTGCATACATCCAAACCATTTAAGTTTAAATTTTTCTAATGAGACAATCAAAACTACGGGTTCATTATCCAAAATATCGGAAGGCATAAATCCAGATTCTTTAAAATGATGCAAATACTCGGGGATCCCAAAAATAGCAACAGAATTAGAACCAGCGACGAATCGTACGTTAAGTTTTAATGCATCAAAGTCAATATTGGCCCGCGATTCAATCAGTTCTAAGGATGGGCGAAAGTTTTTTTTATCTTTACTATCAAATTTTTTATCTTCAAATTTTACCAGACCTGTTAATAAAGTCTGATCAAAGATCAAGTCTGCGGCAGCACATAAAATGGTATCCGTCAAGTCATATCTTGTTCTAATATCAGGATGTTCATCGTTTACATTTGTTAAATCGTCAGGAAGAAGGACATCTTGTATGAAATGAAAATGCACGCGAGGAATTGAAACAGCATATCTCATGGTTGTATATTTGAACGGAAACAATTTTGTAAGTTCATCAACATAATCAATTTGAATTTTATCAAGCATAGCTTCTAAATTCCAATTCTATGATGAGATGATTTAATATAAATTTTTAGTATATATAACTTAAAAAAAATCTATGAAGGAATATAAAAAAAAACTTCAAAGCTATTTTACATACCTCATCTTTGATTGCTTCAAGGAATTCTTCAACAATTTTTAAGAAAATTGGCGTCAAAAATACTTTGATACATTTAGTAGTTTCAAAAACTATGGTTGATTTTTCTTCTGTATCATTATTCTGTAATGACGTTATTTCATCTTCGGGTTGATCATCTTCGGATGATTCGGTGCTTGAACTCTTCGTTTTTGTAAATGGCGAAGACTTATAGCTTTGGCTGTGTTCGTCATCCGGAGACAAGGATTTCTCTTCCTAAAGGGAAAGTATATCAAATAAATAAAACAAATAAATGAATTAATTCCAACGAAAAACTTTTGTAATAATGAAACGATAAATACCCTAGCAGGAACAAACAATGTACGTGATGGTCGAAGAAATGAACTTGAAAAAGAAGCCGCATAGGGTCTTTTAGAAGTCAATCTATATCTTCTCAAATAATTTCCGTAAGGAATAGATCGTGGTACTGGCGGTGACGTTGGATCTTGTGATTCATAAATAGGTGATTCATCTTCGTATTCGAAATCGGAATCTTCATCAATTTTAATATGAGTGTTACGAAGCTCATCAATAAAATCGATTTCGTCGTCTTCATCACCGTCAGATGCAGTTACGAATGAAGCATTAGACACGCTGAAACCAGATTCACCAATAGAGATGCTAAGATAAATTTTATTAGAATTATATATCTTTTTTTCTACTTTGAAAATTAAATAAATAAAACAAATAGACAAACCTGTCATCATCTGGTCTTGGCCAACCTTCATCGTCATCATAACTATCAAAATCGTATTTATTTTTGAAACGACGACTCCAATCCGACATATCCCGTCTGCTTTTATTCGCGGAAAGATCAACCGCAGAAGAATTTGTACTTTCGTTATATAATACAGTGCTATCATCTATATTATCTAATTAAAACATGAAGTATTTTTTTTTTAAAAAAAAAAACCCCCCAAATATGAAGATACTGACTGATAATAAATACCTAGTAAAGGTGGAGGCATTGGAGGAACATAAAGAGTACCAAAGGGTTGACCATAAGATAGTAAATCTTGATTATTATGACCTTTTTCATAAAGGAATGGAACTCTTATAGTATTACTGTCTTCTCGTTTTATAAATGCTTGTTGGCTTTCAAATCTCTCACGCCATCCAGAAGTCGTATGGTATAAGGTGACGTTAGAGGCGCATTCAAAACCTGCAACTTCTACCCAAGGATAATTTTCAACATCCTTTGAAAACTCGATTGATGAGGTAGTCATAGCTAAACTTCTTATAATTATATCCGGTAGATTAAATATCACTTTTTGGGTGTATTTCAATTTCTCATTTGCCAAATCATCAAATTTAACGCTTAACCCTTCTGTAAGCAGAATTTGTGTTACGCTATCTCTACCCCGTATGGATACATCAACTTCTTTAACAACTAAGGTTAAAAATGTGACATCCGGGTCAAGAGGAATCATATATTCCGCAGGTAACGCGTTTTCTTTATCAACAAAGTGATAGACAAAAGTTTTTGCAAACGTAGTTGCACTTAATAAAAATGAGGGTTTTAACTGTCCAGATATTGTCCCTAAATTTATATCCCAATTGCATACGTACGTTGTTGTTTTAGGTAATGGACCGAATAGTCTATGGGCATAAATATTTAAATCTAAAAAATAGGAAAAAAATATTTATAATGACTCAATATCATTTTGTAAAGTTGCTAGGAAGATGATAATCTGAGATTATATAACTCAAGGTCATTTTCCTAGAAACTTCCCACTTATAAAAAAAAGAAAGGAAGAAAGAAAGGAATACCATCAATATATAAATAGTTATTAGATTCTCCTGATACCTTTGACCTAAACGTATTCTTTTTAAGGCTAACATCTGAACTAAGTGTCCACATTAATGGGCTAACAGTAACATCCATGTCTAAAAAAACAATTGCCACTATTATAAATAAATCTAACAATTATCGTTTCGAAGTATTATAACTTACCCATATAAATATCAAGATTTCTTAATTCCACTTGTAATTCATGAAATTGTATTGTTGAGGAATTGTCGGCATTATATAAATTCTCAGGTAGTATGAATGTGCCATCTTCAATATTTAATAACATATACACTTCAAAAGGATCTGCGGGAGGCTAAATCATTTATAATATTATGTTAAATATTTTTATTGATTTAGAATTTTAATTGTAAGTATATAATAAATAAACCTACAACATTACCTTGACAACTTCTTGTGGTTTCTTTGTATTTTTTGGATCATGTTTAGTATACTCATCCAATGTCATAAAATTAATATAGTTACCAAAATAATTCATTTGAAGGATTAAGAAATATCTAATGACAAATCCAAAGAGCTTCAAATTAACTTCTTTTCCCTAAAAATAATGTAAAATTAATGAATGATATATTTTCTTTAAATAAAATAAGTCATAATTATTTTTATCATACCTTTAATATTAACGATAATGACTCTACATGACTAGAGTGAACAAAACTGTAATATTGATAAGTTCCCTCTACAATAAAACTCGACATTCGTATAAATTCCTTACTATCACCTGTCAAAAAAGCACCAAGAGTTTGAGAAACCTGTGGCGACATAGCAACTCTACCCTTGTCAATCTGCCAAGGTTAATTAGGTTATTAAAAAATTCAAAAGATGATGATGGTTGTTGTATTAAAATAATACTTACTTCAACATTAAAACGAATTTTAGTAATTTCTTGGTTAAACTGTAATAAAGGGATCACCACTTCTGCAACTAATTGTGGTCCCTTTATAATAATGAATGCTAATAAAAATTTATAGTTAATAATTATGAAACCATTTTTTAAATTAATCAGTTGAACAGTTTTACGTACCATTATCCTGAATATCCATTGGATTATTAATAATATTGTGCTCATTAACATAAAAAAACAAATCAAAATTTGTGAACCGCGGACTAAATTGATATTCCATAGGAATAAAATGCAATTGATCCGGAGAAGGCCCGGAAGTCCAATCCTTTATTAAATCTTGTAATAGTGTAATATGATCCCTCAGCAAATAAATTTTTGCATCTGTAAAATACATATCAAAATTCCATTTGCGGGCTTGATTCCATATTAATGGATTTATTAAATCACATTTTAACTAAAAAAAATAACACACGATGTCAGCATACAAAGAAATAATATATCTATTCGATTTACAAGCCCTGATATCACAACTTACTTTGCACTGTTTAGTAGTTAGTAAATGCGAAAAATTTACACTTGACTGAATCACCACATTTTCCAATATCATCTCCAATGAATTAGAATATCCTTGTTCAGCGAATACCATAGGTAATGATATATTAATGAATGAATCATTGTCTTCATTATCGTCATCATTGTCATCATTGTCATAATTGTTTTCGTTATCATCATCAACGTTTTCATCATCTTTATTAATTTTAACTTCCAACCATCCATAAGGCCTATTATTTCCAAGTGATTCATCTATTCTCCCTTCAGAATTAGAATATTTCCAATCCTTATACAAATTAAATAATTAATATAACACGATATAACATAATTAAACACATATAAATATTCTAAAACCTTTGATGCCTCCTTCAAAGGTATTCTTAGTGTAACTTGACCCTTAAACTGAATTAATATCTTTAATGAAGTATGTAATCTATCCTGTCCAGGACTTAGTTTCTTTGTTTGCTCTCCATTACGATAAACGGGCGGTGAAAAAAAGTTCTGAAGAATACACCTATTTAGATGATAAATAATTAAAGAAAATTCTTCGAAAATTTCGAAATCAATATAAAATGATATATAGATAATATAATTTCACCTTTGGCGATCTGCCCAAGGTCCATAGTCCAGCTGAACTCCTGTAAATACTAAGTCCACCCCCCATTCTGGTGACAAATCTCCATTTCCGATATCTATTTCCTCAGAATCAGTAATCGGTATAGGATTACGGGGGACCTTGCCTACGTAAAATTTTTAATTAACTTGAATTTATATAAACTTGCCTAATTCTACTTATTTAGGATACATACCGACTACATCGGCATAATAAGTCATCTCCAGTAAAGGACAGGTTAATATAGTCGAAACCTTAGCATATTCATCTGACACTATGTCTTTATTATTCATTTCGTCATCTGTCCGATATGTGTGAAGTTTGTTAGGGATAGATATTATAATATTATCATGTTAAAAGATTTAAAGCATAATTTTTTTTTAAAAAAAAAAAGGATATCTGGGAAGACCATGCCATTCTATGGTGTAATCATCATCATCATCATGTCGATATTTTTTCCAAAAAGTAATGTATTTTTTGTAAAAGCTTTTAAATTCTGATAAAAAATCTTCATTCTTCGTTGGCCTTAAGTATAAGGTGAAATGATTTTAACAATTTATATCTCACAATCCTTATATATTTTTATTTTTTTTTAAAAAAAAAAAAATTGGTACATACCTTGGAGATATATTTTCCGCTCCCGTACGAGCTCCAGTACTTAAAGTAAGCTCTTTAAAATCAATATTAGTTCTAAGATGGATCTTGGGCCCTCGAAATTTTAGATCAATAAACGACTTGTAATAATCAAATCTTGAACGTGACTACAATTAGGAAAGAAATTAGCTAGGAAACTTGAGATGAACATGATTTTAATCTAATTCGTCACCTTTACTGCAGCATATATACCACTAGCTTGAGAAAATTCCGCAACGAGAAGCGAAGGTGTATTTGCATTGCCAAAGATGATGGAACCCCTTTCGAGATCTATCTCAATAGGTAATAACTTTTGAAAGAAAGACTCTTCAGAAAAATCCATTTCACCTGTGTCGCTATCATTGAGATTAACTTTATAAGGTAAAGGTAAGATAAAGAATAGTTTTTAATCGGTTGTGATTTTTTTTCTTTTTGTTCAAAGAATTCATATTGTTTACCAGTAATATCTTCAGCTTCATTTAGGATCGTGTTCGAAGTACTCGTACGGTCAGAATGTTCTTCTCTATTAAGTGCTTTATTTATGATACTTTCTACAGCATCATATGCAGGTGTTCTGTTGTATACAAACCATTCAACTCCGTGTAAACAACATACGATCCGACAAGGTAGAACATTATCTATAGGAAAGTTGAAAAATCAGAAACTAATCTAATTCAGAAACGGTTATTTTTTTTAAAAGTCAAATTTAAATAAAATATTATTACCGGTAGCAATGCTACCATTATTATCTTGGCTTTGACATTCCTTGCGAACATTCCATAGCCAATATCGAACAGTTACGTGTCCTTTCAATATTGAAAATGATTGATTTATTGATCGATATTTTACATTTTTAAACAATACTCGTCCAGCTAGAGGAGCGAATTGTAATGATTCTAATAATCGTGTAATTTGCACCATGTCCAAAAGATATTTTATTAGTTGAATTAAATTTACTAGAGTAATAATACAAGGAGATCATGATACTTTGCAACACTATATAAATTCCTCACCAATCTCAATGTAAGCATGACATTTTCGCCAGGTATATATTCGTATCAACCGAGATAAGAATATTGCAAATATCCGATTGATATAAAATAGAAAAAATAACACCAGAAATGCCACTATCAAGCAAACCACCAAAAAATGAATCCTATAATAGAACAGTTTAATGTTATGATGTAATGAAAGCAATATCTTTAAAAGATTACCTTACCATTTAGGCATATTTCCCTATAAAATTATTAATAACTAAAATATCCAACCACACTTTATATTTATATTAATATGCAGATTATAAATGCAGGTTCGATGTCGCACGAATTTAACAAAACTCGATCAGTGATCGCCAATAATATGTACATGTAGATCTGTATGTAGATCTTGCGCCTTTTTAAAATGGTATCGAGACTATATTTTTGATTCAATCACATTTTATAAAATACAATAATGACAAGTGCTGACTATGGCAGTTCTTCGAACAATGCTTCTACTTTCTCAGCTGAACCTATTATAACTTTAGGGCCGCTAGAAAATGAACAGAGGCAAGTATTATTTCACTAAAAAAAGATATTTCATAGAGTTTAATCGAATTTATTCTTTTACGTGTAGGAATAATGAGGTTGTAGAACCTTTAAACGTAGATACAGGAATTAAAATCGCGTATGTCAAGAAAATTATTTCATTAATTTGATATTAAAATTAATGACTATATAAAAAATTTTTTTTAATTATGTCGATATTTGTTATAGGGAGACGCAAAATTTCAAAAATAATGGGATTGTTGAATCGTCGAATGCATTAACGAATGACATTAAACAATCCGAAGACGAACACGCTTCTAACTTAATTGCTGTGTATGTCGTTCGTTTCGATACAAAAAAAGGAAACATGATTGAATGGCAGTATCCAGAAGGTACAAATGGTTCATAATAAATAATTTTATTCCTAATTTTAATTATTTACTAAGTATAATCATAATACAGATTTCGATCTTAAGGGAATTGAATTTCAGTCATTGCCCAGTGGATTACATTCCGTTAGCAAAGATATGATGTAAATTCAATACTATATGCATATGTTTTAAAAAATCTATTTTATGTCACAACGCAAATTCTCAAATTCGCTATTTACAGATACTTTACCAGACCTCCATTTATTGGGTTAAGTGTATTTCGGAATGAAAGTACTTTGGATCAATCCGTAGACCGAGGAGCTCATATGGCGGCTGTGGGTATATTAGTGTCACCTACAACTGAAACCGGTTTATGTGGTCGTCCTTGGAATCATTTAACGTTTTTACAAAACGAAATAATGTACGTTTAAATGCATCTAATAAGATAAATGGCTTTTTCTTATAATTAATATTAGAATTGAAATTTTTCGAAATTATAATCTATTGTAGGACGCATGTCAATTTATCGGATGATTATTCAAATTTGATTGAATACTTTAAAAAACACAGGATAGTATTAGATTCAGTAGATAATGACTCGTTTATTGAACCTGATAGTGGGCCATCTACTTCATATCGACTTAATAAACCTCAGTATTCACGAAATAGGTGTTTATCAACCTCTGAAATGAGTACAACCAGTTATCAAGCGCCTGTCCCAGTAAGTTTATTTTCATTCCGGCTATGTTTCTTCTTTTCATCATTATGGTAACATATTTGCTTTCCTAAAAAAAGCCTATGCATCCTGCTCATCATTTTCCAAATTTTGTTCGTTCATGTGGTCCTTCTATTTTCTTGTTATGGAAAGCTGCTTTACTCAAAAAACGAATCTTGTTTTATTCTCCGCCTCCAGTAGAAGGAGTTTGTTATTTTGGTATTTCGTAATTACAAATCATATCATTTTAAGTTGCATCTTATTTATATATTTATTTCTCATATATATATATATATATATATTTTAAAAAAAAAAATGAAAGTTTATGGAACTTGTTTAATCGCCAATGTATCGTCATCCATTAGTAGAACATTAAATTGTAAAGTAGACAAGATGAAACCACTATTCAATATTGGAGTTTGTGATATCCCTACGGTAGAGGCTACAGAAGGTGGCTACGTTGCATGTAAGTTTTATCGTAAACATCATTGCTATTTAACGATCTTTTAATTTGTTTTGCATATTTATAGGCACAACGGACTTAATTTTTCAGTATAAAAAAAATCTTTATGATTTGCTTGTAATTTTGCCACACAAAGAAAATCAATATCAACATCCAGAATTGATCGCATCACCTGGTTCGCAATTATCTACTAAGATCAATGCAACGGATATTCGACGTTATAGAGTTTTACTAAAGTTATTAGAATCCTATGGTGCAAGTAACTATAGTGAAGAAGAGGATGGTGGAGATATAACTGACACTTGGCGCAAGATGATGTTTGGTGGTTGGTTTTGGTGGTATGGGCGCGACGGATATCAAAGATTAAATGATGATGAATATGAAGGAGAAAATGGCGGAGAAATTCTGTTAAACGATCGAGATGAATCATCTGATGAAATTCTTAACGAATCATCAAATGCTGAAGGTTCAAGAGAAACTTCAGATATCGAAGTGGAAATGATAAGGTTTGAAAATTATTGATATTATTTTTGCAATAAAGATGATAGAATCGAAATTTATTATTTTTCTGTTTATAGATTTTTTCACGGTTTAACAACAAATCTTTTTAACACATTACAACCGATGGTCCTTCCCTTTGGGTTCAATGATGTAGAAGAATCTGCAATTCTTTATCTAGACCATTTACTTCAACTTGGTCTTGATCCACACGAAGATGGAGTTTTCGTTGGAAAATTCGCGGAAATTTATTTCGGGAGAAAAATTGAAGTGGTGGGAAAAGGTGGAAATATTATAATTCAATTCTGTTCTAATTTGTCTTCTTTAATTGAAAATAATTGTTGTTGCTTTCGGATTTAATTTCAACGGATTGATATAATACTTTAATATATTTAATATATTTATAAATAGGTAATCGTATTCTACCATTGGAAATGAAGGAAACATGTGTTCGGATCATTTATAATCTTTTTTTTGTCCCATTATTTCTAATTAGCAAAGTAATTAATTATTTATTATATCCTTCGCATAACTAGCTACGAGGTTTATGACGAAATGAAAGATGATTTTATTTGTACCATATATAGAATTATTTATAATCAACATCTTAATCGTAATATAGTTACAATTTAAAATGATTAGATTAATTTTTATATTAAATAATTTGATGACAATAAAAAGGACTTTATTAAAGAAAGGAAAATTTTTTATCCTTTGTTTTCCCTCATTCTTTTTTAAAAAAATTTAATTGCTTTACATAGGTTTTGCAGGGGATTGAGTCAATAAGATCTTATATCGTTTTTTTAACGTAACTCGATGACGAGAAAATTTATCGTCCGGTGAAAATCTTGCGGGGTGAGCCGATTTAGTGATTCCACCTTGTTGATTGATTTTCTACGAAAAAAAAAGTTCTCTCCCTTTAGTCACAAATTTGTTAACTTTATGGAACACAATTGAATTACCTTGAGAGTATAAACGCGATTTCCCTTGTCATCGTGATAATACATTAAATGCATTTTATTTTATTTTTTTTTAGATGAAAAAAAAATTTTTTTTAATCTTTATTTTTCTTTTTAATATGTCACATGTCAATGCACGTGATTAATTATTATCATTCTTCAACTTGTTATGTCATAATCTTTATTTCCTGAAATGGAAAATTAAAACTCGCGTCGTTGCTATATTTAGTAATCTTCATAATTTTCAACCAATATTTGGTATAAATACTACTTCTTCAAAAAAAAGTACAACCATCATTTCTTTTTTGTCTTTATACACCATTTCTCACGTTCTCATCTTTCCTCTTCCTCGCGAACACAGTCTTTCGCAAGGCACATTCTGTTTTTGTGTCCCACTATCCTCACATGAATAAAAAACATTAACTTTATTTCCCATGTATATAATATAAACTTTTTTTTTCACAGAAGTCTTTGAAAACAGCATGTAAAAGGTCTACTGGTTCTGGAGGAGGGATTGGTTATGTACCTTCCTTTTATGGTCAAAGAACTTCACCAGATAGAAACTGGTCACCAAACTTCCAGAACGGATAACTGGGTACCAAACGCCCAGAAGAGACAGAACTGGGAAACAAACCGCCCAAGAAGGAATATCTTGGGGCATGAATGCTTGAGGGAATTATAATAAAAAAAATAAATAAATATTAGTACAATGATTAGTACGTAAGTATAGTTAGTACATTAAAATAATCTTGTACATGCAAAATTCGCAACCTTGCCCAAAAGCACCTCTCCTTGCATCGTTGGAATGTGGGTTTAGGTAGACTGGTAGATGAGAGCTCGATTTTTTAGGGTTGCGATTGGTACTGACGTCCTCGTCGGTACTAGTATTCTAGTAGGAACAAGTACTAAATTTTAATTATTGTTGTATTATCTTCCCTTTTTTTTTTATGGCAACGAGTTCCTTTGATAATAAGTTTGGTATTGATATATTATAATAAAAATTTTCCATTTTACTTGAAATTTTTTGATCTAACAAAATGGAAAACGCGTGTTCTTAACATTAAAAATCCAGGATTTAAATCCCAAGACTCATTTTCTGCATACCGCAAAAAAAAAACAGACATAAGAATCCCAAGTTTCAAAAGGTATTAACGATTTTTCCCACTCAAAATAGAAATTGATTTGTTTGTAAATCGATTCAATAAGTTCTTGAAGACACTCTCTTTCTATAATACATTTGTATGCCTTTATTTTTTGTGTGTAATACTGTGTCGTTCAACAATTATGACCAATCAAATCAAACTTCAAAAAACGATGTCAAAAAAGTAAATTCTACACGTGTAATATATATAAGTCGCGTTTCGAAATTTAAACAACTTCGGAATTAAATTCATTTAGGTATATTTCTGTATAAGTTGTGATTTATCTCACGTAAAAATAAAATGGCCTCGAATACTGACTCACAAAAATTACAAGACGAAGCTTTTTTGGAACGTGTTCGTTTTTTTGAAGAATTTTTAGAGGCAGATAAGGTATCAATTTTTGTTCAGATTTAGTTTTCAAGTGTCACGTTTTTTTGCGTATTAAGTATTAAACGCGTCCAAGTTTTCATAACGCCACGTTTTCTTATAATTGTCAACGCTAAAGTTACATACATGTTGAAAAACTATAAAAACTTATTTTAAATTCTAAACTTGTTATTTAGGAAAGGCTTGGCCTCGAAAAATTTTACAAGGATGAGATCGTTCGAATGTTACAAAATAATGAGAAGCGATTTATTGTTAATCTTAACGAATTACGTTATTATCATGCAGAAAATGCTAAAAAGTATGTTTTGTTTTACAGTTATTTTTTTATATTCTATAAAATACGAGCTCATCGTAAATTCTTTTTATTTACAGGTTAGAAGGATCACCTAATGAATGGATACCAGCATTCGAAAGAGCCTTAAAAAACATAATAAAAAATCTTTCGTTGAGTATTGGTCTAGGAAATAATGATGACGTTGACAAAAGCATTGAAGAGCAAAATTACTACATCGGATTCAATGGAACATTTCATCATCACGTTAATCCGCGAACACTTAAATCAATTCATCTTGGAAAATTAATTTGCATTGAAGGAATTGTCTCTCGATGTAAATGAATAAATTATTATGATTATTATCATTATAACAACTTGATAACATTTTGTTTATAAATATATATTTTTTATCTTATTTAGGTTCTCTTGTACGTTTGAAACTTGCTAAAAGCGTTCATTATTGTGAAAAGACTGGCAATTTTTGTAGCAAAGAATACCATGATTCTACCTCAATCGGCAATCAAGTTCCATCATCTTCTGCATACCCGACGGAAGATGAAAATGGAAATCAACTGACAACAGAATATGGATATTCGGTGTACCGTGATCACCAGACAATTTGTCTTCAAGAAATGCCGGAAAAAATGCCACCTGGAATGTTGACCAGGTCCGTTGATATCATTTTGGACGATGATCTAGTAGATAAAGTTAAACCCGGTGATCGTATTCAATTAGCTGGTTGTTACCGAGCGATAGGCAAGCCTACTCAGGGGTCAACTTCTGCAACATTTAAGTATGTTTCAATTATAATTAATTATTATTTTTTTTCTTATTCATTATGCTAATGATTTATTTTTTAATAAAGAACCGTAATTATTGCAAACAATGTCATTATTCTTTCCGGTGAAATCGGATATAAAGCGATTACTGATATTGATACCGCAAATATTGAGAAAATTTCAAAAAATGGAAACGTTTTTGATTTGCTTTCGAAATCTTTGGCACCTTCGATATACGGGCATGAGATGATTAAGAAAGCAATATTACTTATGTTATTGGGCGGAAAAGAACAAAATTTGTCTAGCGGAACACATATAAGAGGGTAACATTTTTTTTTAAAAGATTATCGAAAGATTCTTAATATACATCTTCCGTATTAACTTATACCCGATTTTATAGTGACATTAATATCTTAATGGTTGGTGATCCGTCAACTTCAAAATCGCAACTCCTTCGACGTGTTCTCAATATAGCACCACTCGCAATTGCGACTACAGGTCGTGGTTCTACCGGTGTTGGTTTAACAGCAGCAGTTACTAGGGATAAAGAAACAGGTTCATTGAAATATAATTTTTTTTATATGCGTGTGATATGCTTTACACTTCACATTAATAATTTTTATAATTTAATAGGAGAAAAATGTTTAGAAGCCGGTGCAATGGTTCTCGGTATGTATCTTTTTTTTTTAAATGACTAGTGAGTATTATTTTTCAAAATATTAATCAACCTTCAAATGAAAATAGGAGACCGAGGTGTCGTTTGCATTGATGAATTTGATAAAATGATTGATACTGACCGCGTCGCTATACATGAAGTTATGGAACAACAAACCGTAACTATTGCTAAGGCGGGTATTCACACTTCTCTGAATGCAAGGTGCAGTGTGATTGCCGCAGCTAATCCTATTTATGGACAGGTTAATATACTTCGCAAGGATTTCTGATTTTCAATGTTGACATGACACGATTCAAATTAATCATAATTTCCGGTTATATCACATTAGTATAATATCCATAAGGATCCTTCTCATAATATTGCACTACCAGATTCATTATTATCCCGTTTTGATCTTGTATTTGTCGTAACTGATGAAATTAACGAAGTACGAGACAGTTTAATTTCCAAACATGTATTGCGTTTACACGAATATCGACCACCTAATTTGGAAGAAGGTATAACTTTATATTGTGTATATTAAAAGATATGTGATTCATCATATACTAATATGATGAATTAGTGAATTAATATTTTCTTGTCGATTTTTTTTTAGGTGTTCCAATTAAAGAAGACTCTGGACAAACCATTTTTATGGAAGAGGCCGAGAAGAACACAGAACCGACTCCAGTCTATATGCATTATGATTTATCACAAAATGATGGTAACAATGATCAAAGGGATACAAATTCAGATCAGACAAATTTTCTTTCTTCAGAATTTCTCAAAAAATATATTCAGTACGCAAAAGGTTGTGAGGAACCTAGATTAGGGAAAGCTGCTGCTGTATATCTTTGCGAACTTTGGGTAACTCTTCGTAATGAGAAGGAGAAAGATGGAAAGGCAAAGGTATATCATAATAAGACAACACAATTGACTAAGTATTCAACTTGCGTGATATTATTTGCTAATTATAATATATGATAAAATCTTAGACGTCGCCTTTGACACCACGTGCTTTAGATTCACTCTTCCGTCTTGCTACAGCTCATGCAAAGGCGCGTCTTGGTAAACGAGTTACAATCAAAGATGCTAAAGTTGCAGAGGAGGTGGTCAGATTTGCACTTTTTAAAGAAGTTTCAGTTAAAGACCGGCGTAAAAGGCGCAAGACTAATGTTAATGATAACGATGAAATTGATTCTGACGATGATATCAATGATGATAGTGATAAAGATGATTCTAGGTATATACTTTGTTTGGACGAAATGACCTGATTATTAATTTTTGTTATTATTATTTTTTTAAATGATTAAAATTATTTCTTGTCATAGCTCCCAACAAAGTGAAGGTACACGCAGAGATAAAGGTAAAGGTAAAATGGTCGAATCTCCAACTCAAGTCACAGAGGATTTTATGGACACAGATGAAACGCGTCAACAATCATTTGTTGAGTTAGATTTCGATACTCTTGTTATTGAAGATAATAGGGAGATAATTACTTCGGAAAGGTATGATTTGAAATTCAATATAATTTCATTAAAATTTCTTTAATTTCTCAAGTATTTTTTTGAATAATATTTTAGAATGACACTGTTCCAAGAACATTTAAACCGCATTACATCTATTCCTCCATATGAAAATTCGATTTCATTTGATGTTCTTATACAAGAAATTAATAATAACTTACCAGAAAATCAAGCATATACCAGCGAAGAAGTTAACGCAGCGTTGAAAAAGATGCAAGATAGGAACAAATTGATGATTTCAAATGAAGACAATATGGTTTATCTAATATAATGATTTTTAAATAAAAAAATTTCCGTTTTGAATAATATCTTTAATTAAAAAAATGTGCCATTGGATATATTAACAGTTCATGATGTCAACTTAAAAGACTAAAATGCCTTGAAACTTTTTAATAAATATATCAGATTCATTGTTTACCCATTGGTAATAACTGTTCGAGGTTCAAGATCAAAAATGGTTTCATTTTCGATATACATAAATGTAATGATTAACTATAAATCATACCTTAAATTTTTTGAAGGAACAATTCAAAATAATCAAAATTGAAGGTCTTTCCTTGAACACATTTGAATAAAGTAATTTTTTTTTTTTGCGAAAAGATTCTACACCTTTGTGATATTAAGAGAAGAATGCACGTATCACGCGTCATTTTGGTTTTACCATAATAATCTCGGATACAAATTTTTAAAGCTAACGCAATATGATGTTGGCTTTACCATTCAAAGTTTCAATCATGCCTGATCTACCTGATAATCGTTTATGTACATATATATAAAGTTATATGATGTAATGTACAGTACATGTACTTAACATATGTTCAAGCTGTATTATTTTTTTCATTAGACATTAAATAATTACTTTTACTTGTAGCATCGAAGTTGACCAATGAAATATATTTTAAAACTTTTTTTTTTTTTTTTTTATCGATGTACTATAGCATTTATATTTAATAGTGATGATGTTCTTTTAATAATTTTTTTTTTTTTTTGGAACCATTTTATTTGTACATTTGCATTACATGAAAAAAAAACGAGTTTTTTTAACGCATACAAACCAGCCTCGAATATTTTTATCTGCATAAAACATTATTTTACGTAACTTAATTCTTCGTGTAACAAATTTTTTTTTCAAAAGAAATCGAATGTAGAAGCTTTTATGTAGAGCAATGGAATTGTAACACTATCCAAAAAACAACAACAATAACATCAACTTGACTGTCTCACATTACTTGTAGGTAACTTTCCTAATTAATGAACAAAAACAATTTTTTAAAACTTATATAAAATGCTTTGTTTAAGAACTACCATCGCATTCATTAAAACATTTATATCATCAAAATCCTGAATCCTTATAAATAAAGCCCCCCCCCCTTGATGATTATTATTATTATTGTTGTTTTTTTTCTTTAGCACAAAAAAAAAGGTTTTACAATTGTTTTAAAATATACAACCTTTAATTTACCTTTTAAAAAAAAACATTTCTTCAATTATTATTTTTTTTTTCAACTCGACAAACCTTTTTTTTTTAACAAGTTTTATTTTAAAAATGGTCAAAATCAAGCAACAAAAATATCAGCACGTATTTACTTTAGACAATTTCAAAAAAAATGCGACTGGTACTAATGTTAATAATGTTGCGCCACCTGACCCTAACTACGTTTTGTCCTTTGGGACAAAGAAGAGCGATGAAGAAATCGTTCGCAGTTCAAAATATAATCGCAATGTTGAAATCCTTTTGAATAATTCTACCAGCACCCGTCTTGCAAAGAAAAATAAAAAAGAGGGCGTCACAAAACGAGTTCCACGTCGTCAAAATCCATGGATTCTTTATCGTAGAGATAAAAGTGTGGATCCTGTTTTTTTCGGTATGAAATCTTCCATGATTTCAAAATTTATTGGTAAAATGTGGAATGAAGAGTCAGAAGACGTGAAGGAAAGTTACGCTGCGCTCGCTAGAATGTCTGAAGCAAGGCATATGGCAAAGCATAAAGATTATAAATACAAACCGAACCCTCCTAGAAGACCTAAAATTAAATCAAAACAAAATAAGTCGCCTTTCTGTTCGGAATTAAATTTCCCTTCTCCTTCCGCTTCTCCTCCCACTTCGCCATCATCATCATCATCATCTTGTTTTTCTTCTTCTCCTTCCGCTTCTCCGCAACTTTCCGATTTGGAATCAAAATTTTCTTCCTACTTAGACTCACCAATCTTCTCTGATTTTGAAGAATTTGCCATTTTGGATAAAGAAAGTTCTCAAGATATGTTTGCTGTGTTAAATTCGGATTCTACCTCTTCCTCCTTCAGTTCGCCCCAAATTTCTGAATTCGCCATTTTGGATGAAAACAATTCTCAAGCTCAAGATATGATGGACATGACAATTTTTGATTCGTCTTACTTCAGTTCCCCGCAAATGTCTGAATATGAAGGATATGATATTTTGGATAATGAGTCCACTTCCTCCTCCTCGGTCCATAGCTCTCCTCAATTTCTTGAAGAATATTGTCTTCATTTGTTAAACAACTTGGATCCCACTTCAGAATTTGAAGAAATTATCATTCCGGATAATAACGTCTCACAAAATATGACTCTTAATTTTCCTTCATTAAACTCCATCAATCCAATACCGCCGCCACCACCCCCTGTAGAATTTCAACAATTAACAACTTTGAAACAACCTTATGAAAATGAAATGATGACTTCTTCTGAATGTGTTCTACCAGACTTCATGAAAGATCTCTCGGCCGTTTTTCTCGGCTCTAACTATAACGAAAACGTTGTACTCGACAACTCCGAACTTTTGATGCAATCACAATTTTCAGACATGTCATTAGATTATTATGGATATATTCCCGAAGGTACTTTCCTTATTAAAATTACTTTCATCCTTATAATTTCAATATTAAACATTTCATTTTTTTTTTCATTTTTAGATAATTCTATCGAATTATTTAAAGGTTCTGGATCTCTACAATAGTTATTTAATTTGGCATCTCCGCAGTGAGTCACTTTGCACTTTTATGCGCAGTGGTTCACTATTATTTCACTCCACAACATTTGATCGTTTAATTTGACTGATTGTGGAGATGTTTAAAAGGAAATAACTATTGTGTAGATCCTCTATCTTTTTCTCTTTTGTTAAAATTACAAAATAGAACATTTTAACTATTTAGATAATTTATTTTACTTTTTATTTTCATTTTTATTACGATTATTTTTATTTTTTTATATTTATAAACATTTAAGATCAAAATTTTATTCTATTATCATAAATAAAAATATATTTTTTTTTCTCCGCAACTTTTACGAAAAACTGCTAACAAAATTTTAAGCAACCTTTTGAAAAATTATAAATTTATTCTAAATCTAAAGCAATATCGAAGGATTAGCGAAGCGAATATACAGCGTTATATTCATAATTTGTATCAACAATTAAAGTGATAATTAAACTGACCGAAAAAAAGGTATACTTCCCAATAGTAAAAATGACTTGATAAGATTTATTTTTAAAATTTGTATATTAATATACAGACTGAAAGCTTTTCTTAACGCATATGATTTTACTCGTAAAATTATTACTTTTTACTGTTCTTTTACCCTCTCCTCTTTCTTTCGAAGAGAAAATTATCCCACTTATTGTGAACAGTAAAAAGTAAATTTATAAATTGAAAGAAATACATGATAATATCTACTCAGGACACATGATGAAATACATAGTACGAAATTAAATTAGTAATCCTTAAACTTTTTTTTTAATGCAAAATCATTTAATCGAAATATCAATTGTTTGTAGTAATTGTTACTACGCAAATTTACAGCTAAATTTCATTAAACTAAATTTTTTTCAGGTACTATCATATCCGTCATTGAATATGAAGGAATTGTGACTTGAATGTGGAGTTTCTTGCAGAAAGGATGTTTTCACTTACTGAGATAAGGATGGATACACAAAAGCTAATCTTTTAGTATCTTTAATTTCCAAGATCATTTCTCTTTTAATGTATTATGCAATGACTAGTTTCTAAATTTTTTAGCAGATAATTTTGGTAGATGATACTAACTACATCATAAGCCTCGTCTCTATATCTTCATCATCTGATATTTCTGATGAGAATTGAGAGTAGAAAAACATTTTTAGTTTCTTTACCTCTTTTAATGGTGTATTTATTATACATAAATTCTTCAAAAATTGATATCGTTATATTTATAAAGCGGGGATACAATTCATTCAATTCATTTATCCTAATTTAGGATCGACATATACTGTACAAATGAATTGAATTTGAGGGGGGTTTAGTCAACCATTCCAAATTTTGTAATCTTTAATATAGCTCTATACCGACTTTTTAAAGATTTTTTAATTATTTGGTATTGCATAAAAACTAATAAAGCATGCCAAAAAAAATTCAATAGTAAATTTTTATATGATACCATATATAGTTTTAATTTAATTAGTTGACTGAATACCCCACCCACATAAAGCCTTTGGTGATTTACATAATTTCTTGACTAATATTTTTTCAGTCACATTCAGTCTCAATTTATTAAATTATGAAAAACAGCTGTAATGAAAATCTATCCCTTAAATATTTCAATCATAAACAGAAACTCTATAAAAAATTCAATTTAATGTTAGTTAAAGCTTCGTATATAAACAGCAATAATTAGCAGGAGAATATATATACGATGGATTAACATTAATAAAGATTTCTCTCAGAAATATTATAAATATCTTACACAGTTATTATTTTGAACATAATTATAACGATAATACTGTATTCATCATGAATCAAAAATACTTATTTGCTTTGCTTGTATTTTTTTTTCTTATACATATTGAGAAAACTTACGGAAAATGTGTAAGTGGAAATTGTTCTCCTTCTGGTGAGAATTGTAAAGAAAATCCAAAAGAACATCATATGTTAATTTCAAATTTATTATTATTCACAAACTCTTTGGGTAAAAAAAGAAATAATCCTTTTTTTCATTTATAGCATGTGGTGCCAAAGTTGTCAATGCAAATTTGTTACCAGGTTCAATACTCAATATTACAGTTAGTAGTCCTTCTCCCCCAACAGGACTCAGTCACTTTACTATTAGTACTGATTACAAACAAAACTATAGATTTTTTGAAGGTCCAAGGTTCGTTAATGGAGGAGATTGTAAAGTGAAAGATGGAATAATCAATCCATTCACATCCAACTAGACATATGATTTCCCAACACCTCCAAGTGGGACTTGGTTTGATATTTGGGTTGCAGTATATTAGCATTGTCATAGAGCTCCAAGTATTTGAACTTGCAGTAAAGGTTGTACTTCTGAAAATATACACTATCGATATAGAAATAAGTTAGCCTAATAGGATTTGCTCTTTTCTGATTTATTATAAATTTATAATGTATTGTGAAATTTATATCCTACATCTTAATATTTTATCTTAAAATTATAATAATTTTTATTATTTTTATTACAAATTTACAATATATTTATTATAAATAAAATTATACATTTAAAATTTAAAGGTTATATTATTAAAATGATAATTAATAAAAATAGATATTTTCTATCATTATCATTAGAAGAAAATTCTAGTATAATACTGTATTTAATTATTGTTCACTTTTATTAACAGTATGCTCATCAGAAGAATTCTCGCTGTAAATAATATTTAAAGAATCATTTGCTAAATTATCATGAATTGAAAGATTCTGATGGGTTTATAGTATTAATCAAAGTATTCGCAATTATACAAATAAGTTCTTTAAGGGTTTTGAATGTATAATCGATCTACCTAGTATTTTCTTCAATAATAACTTCAACCTGAAAAGTCAAGGTAAGCTCTTTCTGAATTAATATATAAAGAATAATTAAAAATATATTCACATCTCATAGCTTTATTACTATCAATAAGTATATACTTTACTTTCTTTACATATTGTAGTAATTTTTCATCATCATTTTCATGTTTATAAGTTATTTAGGAAGTAAAATAAAACAGTTAATATTAGCATATGAAATTTTGAAAACTAATGAATAAATATGCAATCTTACCTGATTAAAATTATCAAATGGTTTCTATATCATTACTATCAATTTCATACTTACTTAACTTTTCACTCAAGTATTTCTTAATCTTATACTAGAAGAATGATCTTAACATTTTCTTCTTGTACTTTTAATGAAAATAACAATATTTGATGCAGATCTATCCTTCATATTATAACTTCTGGGTTTTTTTTTAAATATATTAAAAAAAGCATTGATATTATACTTCTTTTTGTAAATTATTTCTAAGTCAGTCTAGTAAAGCTCAAGTTTTCTTGACATTACAAAAAAATTAATAAGTTTAGTTATATCATATTTTTTAATTTTATCTGTCAATATGAATAACTCATTTACAGGTATAATAGTAAAAGTAGAAATCAAAACTAATATATTTATAAATATCTAATATATTGCTTTTATAGCAGTGATGAGTTTTAGACACCTTTTTTAATTTTGGACAAGGTTTTGGACATATGAAATTGTGTTCAAAATCTGTTCAAAATTATTAAAAATTGTTTAATTTTCCAACATTATTTTATAATGATATTAATTAAGTTCAAATAAAAAGTGTATTATATTCTAAAGTAAAATAAAATTTATTTCTGTTTAAGAAAAATAGTATTAGGTATTAATAAATATAGCAAACATTTATATAATTAGCTATTATAATATATTATGTAATATAACTTTTTATACAATTAAAATTAATGTAATCGTTAGCTAAAATTTTGATGATTTTTTATATTATAATAAAAAAATTTATAATAATATATTTCTAAACATCAGTTAAGTTATTTTAATAAAATAATTCTGCTAATCACACAATTTTCAACAGATATTTTTAATAATTTTGAAGGTTATATATAATGAAAATTCTGAAGAAAAAACTCACTAAACTATCATTATTTGTAAAGTAAAGGATTTGAAATAAAATTTTTAAAGATTTACAGCAGACAATAAATATAAAACCTTGCTATAGATTTTACTTAATAAGTAAATATTATTCAATTTTGTTATAATTACTATATAAACTATATTATATTGTAAATAGTACTGATAGATTTTTTGTAAATATAGATATAAAATATAATAGGAATCTGATTAAATATAAGATAAATTAATTATAAAAAGAATTTGCAATAATAATAAAAATTAAGCTGATAATAGAAGAATTAATTTAATATCAAAGGTAAATAGTAATAATAAGAAAATCAGTAAAAATGGTTTTATTTGAAGTATTAAATCAAAACACAGATTTTATATATAAGAGAAAAAAAGAAAAATTAATAATTTATGATTAGAAATTACTATTAGTAAACATAAACTTAAAGAATTATCAAAGCAACTATTATTTAATTTTCAAATTATAAATAAATTTAAATACTTTACAGAAACCCTTAAAATTCTAACGATATCGATTCGATATTGCAATAATATCGTAACGATATCGAATCGATATCGTTACGATATCTATGTCGATTCGATATCATAACGATATCACATC